GGGGGGATGGCCGCGGCCCCCCGAGCCGGGAGGGCTCGGCACAGAGCCCCCGGGCCGCCGGGGAAGCGCGGGGAGCCCGCCCGGCCGCCCCCGAACCGCGCGCTTTTTTCTCGGTGCGCGCTCCCCGACTCCCCAAAATCTTTCAGCCAAGCTAAAGTTTCGCCTAAACTCGCTTATGGTCGCTGCCAACCCCGTCCCGGACAATTAAGATATCTTCTTTTTAGGCACACACCCCTTCTTTTCTTTTCTTTTTTTTTTTTTTTCTTTGAGTTTTGGTTGTTTGGTTTTTTTTAAAGCCCCTAAAAGAAGCTATCTCAATAGGGCTGTTCCACCTTCCAGACCTAATCCGTAAGAAAGCAAGTGAATGTCCGTCCCTATTATCCTATAGCCAGACCATCTGACGCTGGGTATAGGATTTGTTTCCTGGAAAAAAAAAAAAAAAAGAAAAAAAAAAACGCTGGGAAATAAAATCATTCCTTAGTTTCTTAGTGTCTTAATCAGTGAGGCGGAAAACAAGCAAAAAAAGATAGCAAACCAATTGCAGCACCTCTCAGCTATAGAGCCGGGATCAAAACATTGTAGCATCTGTTGAAAGAGAAAGTGTCTAAATCCTATAGAAGGCTTTAGTCTTATAAGAGAGGGAGGGGAGAAAAAAGATAAGAAACAGTGTCTCGGTGATCCCTAAAACCACTAAATCACTGGAGAATTTCTCCCGGATAGAGATGTCTCTTTTTGTTCTGTCAGCCCTCATGTATCCATTATTTTATTCACTGCTGCATGGCGTTTATCAGATTGAGACCATATTTGTACCCCTCTGAGACCTAACCTCGCCTTATGCTTTTTGAGTAATGGACTCTTAAAACCCAGTAACATACCCCTGCAAGGGAAAAAAACATTAGAGGGAGCATGAATATTCCAGAGGAAATCCATTTTATTAATTTTAATTTTGCCATGCGGATGTTTTAAGTGCCTGCCTGCCTCCCCCTCGCCTCTGCTGCCCACGCACGCCCGCGGCCCGAGCAGCGCTGCCCGCTCCGCACCGCATTTCAGACCGGGCTCCCGAGGTGCTCCGGCCGCGCACCCTCCGCCCGGCGCCCGCCTTGCCCTGCGGAAGCTGCGCCCGTCCCCACGCCGCGGGAAGGGGCCACCACCGGCCCCCAGAGAGCCCCCGGGCCCCCCGGCCCGGGCACAGGCGGCTCTGCCGCAGCGCGGGCGCGGCCAGGAGCCGCCGGGCCCAGGTGTGCCCGCACCGCACCCGCGCAAGCGCTGCGCCTCCCGGCACCGCTCTGCGGCGGGCAGCCCGAAATTCCTCCATTTAACGCCTTTCCTAAGAGGAAAAAAATAAATAACAACGCCGAAAGCGCTCCCCGGCTGGAGCGCACGGGCGGTGGGCGCGCTCCCCGCGCAGCGGCGCTCCGCGGGTGCGGACAGCGAGAGAAGGGGCCGGGCCCGCCCGGAGAGCCCGGGCAGGGCCGCGGAGCCGCAGGTGAGGGCGAGGCGAGGGCGGCCCCGGCCGCTGGCGTGGACATGGGGCAAAACAAAATGCCAAAAGACAACCCCGCAACCGAACAACAAAAAACCAGCAAAGTGGGGGTGGGGGGCAGCGAGGGCTCCGCTCTATCTTTCTAGTGTCCTTCATAGACTGTTTTCTTCTCTTAAAACTGACATGTCTAATTGGCAAGCGGTGCCATATCGTGTCCAGAGGTCTCCTGTGGAACATTTCTACAGCTGTCTCCTTCAACTAGACGCTTATTCATGTCGCCTTAATGAGAAACAAAACGATCTCTAATGAGCAATTACATAGCGACAGAATTGTTCCCATAACAAATTCTTGCGTGTGACAGAAACATCCTTTGTACCAGATATTCCGCACACTGTTACCGATTTTTTTTTCCTTGCGGGGTGAAAACAAAAAGCAGGTTGTTGTATATAGACACCTCTTCTAAAGGAATGACCAGAGCCGGGGAGAGCCGAGCCTCAACAGAGCCCGCATTCAAAAAGAAGCCATTAACCATCTTAAGTATGTAACGTAACATCCCATTATCCTTCATATTATCCCCTTGTCATTCCTACAACAAATACCTATTAATCTTCAGGATAAACAGTTTCCTATATTTACAAAGTTGTTTCGGGTCCATTGAGGAGGAATTACAATCAGCCCTACGGAGGATAGTCACCGGTGGCCCCGGCTTTGGGGACAGACCCCGGCGCGGGCAGGCAGCGGGAGCCCCAATCGCCGGGCGATGGGCGAGGTTAAGGCTCAGCCCCGGCTCCCGGCACCGCAGCTCGGCGGACGCGGCTTTGGCACCGGGGCTGGACGCCCCCCGTGCCGCCGGCCCCGCACCCCCCTGCCCGCGGAAGGACCCGCGTCGGGGCCACCTCGGCCGGACGAGGCCGAACGGAGCCGATCCGGGCCGGGGAGCGGCCGCCGCGTGGTCGCTTACCTTGTGCGGGCTGCCCGGGTACCGAGGTGCCGGGATACCAGCCGGGCCGGGTGCCCCAGGTCCCCGTCTGCCCGTTCAGCATCCTTAGCTTGTCGTACATCCCGTCGGCACCCATCTGTTGCTTTTCGCTAGCCAGGTTGCGTAGGACTCTGTTTATCGACGACACCTGGAAGGCAAAGGACAGGAAAGGCAATGGTAGTGCGGTAGCGCGCTCCCCGCCAGGCACCCGCGCAACCCCCGCGTCCCCCCGCGCAGCGGGCGGCTCGACCTGGGCGCAAGTCGAGGCTTCCCTGCGCGCTGCGGCCGCCCCGCACCGCCGAGTCCCTGCCGCCCCGACTGCTGCTGGTGGTGGTGGTGGTGCAAACAAACAAACAAACCACGGGGGAGGGGGGGAAGGAAGAAAAGAAAAAAAAAAAAAAAAAGCAAAGGGCAAAAAAAAAAAAAGCGCCCCAAACCCAACCCTGCAAAACCAGAGTGATGGCTCCGACTGATGCTTGCAGTCCTGAGGCGCCAGGCGCAGGGGTGACCCGCATATTGTTTTTTATTTTTTTTTTCCCCTCCTTAAAGGCATTTGTCAGATTCTGTATGAAAAAATGCGCCTGACCCTGCCACATGCAAATGATGTGAACCTGCTATCCTCTCTTCTGATACCAAAACAAAGGAAGCAGAGGCTCGCTACGGCTACCCAGCATTGTACACGGCACACGGGAAGGTTTTTTTCATGAACTTACACTGGGTATATTATCGTTGGTACAGACCCCCTCTGATAGTAATCTGTCTCGAATCTCCCACGCAAAGATGGAGGGGCACTCTCGTTTATACTGCGCTATTTTGCTTACAACTTCTGGAGTCGCTACTCTCGGTTTACTACCTCCGATTGCCCTGGGTCTGATGGAGCCAGTTTCGTAATACCTGCCCAAAATTTTACTCACACATCCATTCGACACCTGGATAGGGAAGCGGACAGAAAATCACATTATTAATAATTTCAAGACAAAAATAAAATTGTTTAAGTATGCATTAAACAATGACAAGCTTACGTTTTGATTGTCCAGCACTTGGACTTTTGCATCTGCATGGGTCTATAACACAAAAATATACCTTAAATGGTATGAGAACTTACTTAGAGAGTCTTTTTTTTTTTTTTTTTAAAAAAAAATTACATTCGTGGCCCTACCCTCTACAAAAGTGATACTTTAAAAACATTTGGAAGAGAAAAAAATCATCTGGTCAAAACGTAATTCTCTTAGTATCAAGGTTAAAATACGCCTTAAATGCGAACAATAGGTAAACCAGACTAGTCTCCATCCTTCTCACTGCTCTTAGCCAAAGGACTTGAGGGGGAAGGGGTGAGTGAAGGGTTTTCAAGACCTACATTTACAAAATACCCCTGAACTGTGCCAGATTGCGTGAATGTCCGTAAGGACAGATTCCAGGCTAAACAGCGTGGCTTTGAGGGGGGGGTCTTTTATCTCTCTCTCTCTCTTTTTTTTCTTTTTTTTTTTTAGGTATTGTTCCGCTTTTTGGAAGAAAAAAAAAAAAAGGTAAAAATTAAAAAAAATAAATAAACCAAACAGTAAGCCACGCCAAATGCATACAGATATCACAAAATCATAAGTAAATACGGGGGGTACGGAGGGAAGGAGAGGAAACTGAAATTATGCCAAGCCGTATAATTCAGTTTATTACAGCAAACTAACTGTAACGACAGTGCAGGTTATCACCGGGTGGAAATAGGGGGGGAACGAAAAGCAAAAAAATTTCCAATATTCGAAAAGGCATATATATCTAGATATACGCATCGAAAGGTCTATTCGCAGCAGCAACCGAGCAGACGGATCGTTTTATTAGGCTGGAAGGCGGGTGGTGGTGGTGGTGGGTGGGTGTGGGGGGTCGCATCAGCGCCCGGCGGTGACACAGCGGCGCTGGAGCGGAGCGCTGGGAGGACGGGGGAGCGCCGCCGCCTTCACCTGCAGGATCCGGGAGATGTCGCAGGGCCGGGCGCCGCTGTGAGCGAGTTCCACGATCTTCTGCCGCGTGGAGTCGGGCAGCGGCCTCCCGTTGACGAACACCCCGCCGAGCTGGTTCACGCCGCTGTGACCTGCGGGAAGCACAGCGCGCACCATAGCACCCTCCGCTCCCGCGGAGCCGCCGGGCGCCCCGCCGCCCTCCGCCCCGCCGGGGCCGGGCGCTCCCGAGCCGCGTCCGGCCCCGGCCCCGCCGCCAGCCTCGCCCTCTGCTCCCCCGGAGCCACCGCGGCTCCCGAAACGCGTCCGCGGCGCGCTGCCCCTCTGCGAAACCCGCGGTAGCCACGAACCCCGAAACCCAGCCCAAAAGCCCGGAATATTCCTAGCCGGATCGCCTTGGGTTGCTCTTTGCTTTGCCTTTTTTTTTCTTTTTTTTTCTTTTTTTCTTCCCTCCTCCCCACCGACAAAAAAAAAAAAAAAGCCCAAAGCCCAAGCCCAAGCGAGCCTGCCTGCATCCGCACAGCCGCAGCTCGCTTGGCCAAAAGCAAAGCGAGAGGCTGCCTCGCCAGTGCCCAACCTGAAGCTCCAGGCTCTGAGGGTCTCCCTGGAGAAGCTCTGCTCTACGCGCTCTCCGCTCTCCTCTCTTTGGAGCCTCCTGATAAATTGACTCCAAGAGCCCAGGCTTCTTAGCAATAAATAAGCTCCAAATATAGAAGAGGGGGAAAATATGATGAGCCTCTCTGACATTTGTCTTTAAAATAAAACTAGCTGCACGTCAAGTTTGAGCTTAATTTCTGGAAATAGGCGGAAGTCGCCCCGGATCATGCATGGAAGGCTAATTGAAAAGATCAGTTGGAGCACTTGTGGCAGGCGTGTCACTTTATGACAGTACTCTGCTTTTGAAAATTGCATCGTCACGACAAATAGTAGCATGATAAAACGACCCTTTCTGTCCGCATTTGGATATCACTCAGACTAGATTGAACTCTACTCGCTCTCCCTCCGAGGGAGGCTGCGGCTTGCGGTAGCCGGGGGCTCTGCGCGGACACACCGAGGGGGCGCGCTCCCCGCGCAATGGATTCGAAGTGACATCGGGGCTGGGGAATTTGCCGCCCCGGCCCAGCAGCGCGGCCGGAGCCGCGACCCGCGCTCCCCACCGCGGGGAGAGGAGCCCCGCGTCGCTCTCCGCCGGTGCCCGGGGGGCGGAGGGGCTGCGCGCCCGGGGGCGCAGCCCCGCGGCTGCTGCGCGTCCCCCCCCGCTCCTCATCCCCGCCAATGCGTGCGGGGGGACCCTCGCCGACATAAAAAATGGCAGCGGGGAAAGCAAAATCAAAGTTTCACTTAAAAGGTTAAGCCTTAATCATTATATAATTTCCCTGGAGAGCGGTGTAGATCTCGCCCAGTGGCAATGATTATGCGCCTTGTATTCTATTGCTAGTCATCTAATAGGAAAACATATGGTGTCAATTTGGATGCTCTGCACCATATACACCCAGGAGTTATTAACACAAAGCCTGAAGAGCCCGCCGCGACCTTTAAACAAAATAAAGGCTTCACCCGAATGATATCTTTTCTGCGTTTTGCAGTGGCGATCCCAAACGGCCGAGTGAAGGCATCCCCCATTACCATAAACCCTCGGCACGCCACGGCCAAGGGCAGCCGCCGCCGTCCCTGCGAGGCGCAGGTAAAACCCTCCCCGGGCTGCCGAGGCTCAGTTTTTGCCCCGGATAAATGAAAATACATCGCGCGCACAAGCACGCAGCGGCCCCGGAAGATAAAAGAAGGAGAAAACACCCACAAAGTAACATCAAAACAAACCAAATTTAAAAAAATAAAAATAAAAAAGAAAGAAAAAGGAAAAAAAGCGCTTCACGCAAGGGATATCTGAAAAATCCCTAAAACCTCTGCTTTTCCAGATGCTCCTCACACGGGGGGACAACTTATTAATGGGTTTCAGGGTGGGATGATAAAGGGGTCCCGGAGCCGAGCATCCCCGGTCGGGTTCCCTCTGGGGTGGGGGCCGCGCTCCGCGCAAGGGCCGCGCAACTCGACCTGCGCTCCTCGCCGCCGCTACGCGCGCAGAACGAGAGGGCCCGCGGGGTGCGGAGCCCACCCCACGGAAGATCCGAGTCCCGAGGAGATGAGGCCTACTCCGGAGCGGCCGGGACCTGCGAGCTCCGCGCAGCCCCTTTCTCCGGGGCGCAAACCGAGGCCGCCTCTCCCGGCCGCCACCCCCGGCTCGGTGCCAGCGCTGTCCCCTCTGAGAAGGGCACAGGCCCATCCACGAGGTCCTCAACAACAACAGCAACCCCAACAACAACAACACCACCACAAAAAGCCTCCCCCCAAAAATTAACGATCCGCGGAGACATCAGAATGGGGAAGCGAACAAGCCCCGAAGGCGGCGGGGAGCCGCGCCTGCCGCCGAGCGCCCTTTTGCTGCCCATCTCCCGCGGCACAGAGGGCAGGGGCGCCGCCGGCTCCCGGGCCATGCGGCGGGCCTGGCACGGCGTCCCGGGAGCCGTGACAGCGCTGCCGGGCCCGTCCCCGCCGCCCTCGGAGCGACGGGCGCCGCCGGGCCCCGCTCCCTGCCCGGCCCGTCTGAGCCCTCCGCCCCGCTCTGCTGAGCGCCCGCGGCCGCGGAGGGGCGCGGAGTCACTTACTGTTCTGCATGGTGGGCTGAGAGAGCGGTATCCCACGGGGGTCGCCTATAGCCGTCTATCAGTGACAAAATAGGCGTTAATCAGGGGAGGCAGTGCACGCGGTTAAGCTGCAGAGAGGCTAATATCTCACCGGCTAACTTTGTTATCCTTAAGCATCTTCCCCCCCCCCCCCCCCCCCCCCCCCTGTGAAGATCTTCAGGAGCTGGTAGTCAGAGGGTCTCAGCTCTGCCATTTTTAAACACTCCCCCCCCCCCCCCCCCCCCCGGTTCGTTTAAGGATTTGGGGGCTTTAATATCTCAAGGCAAAAAATGTTCATATGTATCCCTAACTCGCAGGGGGAAAAAATTAAGAAAAGCAGCCCGCCAAGTGGTTTCTCGTTTTAATTGCATGCAGGTGGCGTATTGCCTCGTCCTTAGTGCTCTTCGCTGAGGTGGTGTATTAAGTGGAGCGACAACAATCACAAAGAGAGTCCGAAGTCATGTTTTTAAACTTGCCTGAAAGCGGGGTGGACTGTCCTCTCATACAATTTAGGGACTCGCACATCTGCGTGTCACTAGTTAAAGTCTTCCCTCTAGGACAAAGCAGAAGAGGTACATTAAAAAGTGTGCACGGCGCCGGGAAGGTGTGCGGGGCGGCCCGGGGGGAGCGGAGCGGGGCGGGCACCGGCGGCGGGGGGAACCTTCCGCCCCCTGCCCTGTCTGCTGGGAGCGGGGCTCCATTTTTTACCTCCGGGTATTTCCCCGAGGTTTGGTTTTTTGGTTTTTTTTTTTGTGTGTGTTTTTTGTTTTTGTTTTGGTTTGGTTTTTTATCTCTCCCCCTTTCCGCGCGGCGCTAGCAACTTTTTCTCCCCCAAACTCCCCGTCTTGTGATTAACTTCTTTTTTGGTCTTTAGATCTTCCCCCTTTTCACTGTACTGTGACACACGCTGTCTACCTCGCCTCACTGCTTTAAAAAGTAAGAACAGGAGGGGGTGAGAACTGTTAAACAAAGCCTACAGAAAGCGAACAATGGCCTCCATTCTGCTCCTCTACCCAAACCCCGAGTGCAGAAACCCAGGCTCCTTAACCGGCCGCGCAGCTTCCCAACTCAACGGACCAACAACCCTCCAACTTACAAAGAGCAGAGAAACAAGCCCCTTCTCCCTTCATTAGTGCCTGCCTTGACCCAGCGCCTGGACAGTCCCCAGCGCCTTCCCCCCCACGCCCCCCGCTCGCTCCCTCCCTCCCTCCTTCCTTCCACTACTCCCTCTCTCCTCCTCTCGCCACCTTCCTTCCTTCCTTCCCTCCCTCCTTCCCTCTCCCACCCGCCCCCCGCCAACCCCCGGCCCACTTATTTATTTATTTATGCGTCCCCATGTATTTATTTGAAATCGTCGCGGGTGAAAATGGAAAAGTAATTTCTCGTTATAAATATCTGGCGGTAATTGTGTTACTGGTGCGAGTTGTTAGGGGTTGTAAAAAGATACAACAGCTCAGTGGGGTGCTCAATTGGGGAGGGACAATTACAATAAAGAGCCCATTCAAGGGGGTTGCTAAAAAAAAAGGAGGTAAAATAATGAAATAGTCGCAGCCTTCATTTTCTCTCCCTTTTTTTTCGCCTAAAAATACTCATTCGCTTTCTTTTGCGCCTATAATGAATATTAATTTTACTCTTCCTGCATATGATGGAGAAATCAAAGAGGCACGTTTCCCCATTCAGGACCAGCCACGGTATAATTTATTAAGTAGCTTTTAGTAATCTCAAATCCATAAAAATAAACATCAAACAAGTACTTTCTCGCAGCGTGAAGACTTCAGCTGGTAAATATTTACTGCTCTTTGGAGAGCTACCTGATTAGCAGCAGAGCAAGCTACACTGTACTTCAATGGGGACGCGGTGCTATCTCCTTCAGCTGAGCTGAACGTGGAGTCATCCCTTTAACACACCGAACACGTCTGCATGGGCACACACCGAACGGGGAGCCCACCGCTCCAGACACTATTTCCTCCCCTATTTCACGCACAAATCACAAACGCGCGGCCTACGGGGTGAGAGAAGCCACCCGAAAAGGCAGCAGCAAACTTCCAGCTCTCGGCTCTGCCCGCACGGACATACAAACGCTACTGAGTGGGCTTAAAAGAAAATAACGGGGGGGTGTGGAGGAGGTTGGGGGGAGAAAGAGGGGGGAAAAAATAAAAAGCCGCGAAACAAAACAAACCCAAACACAGCCGAAAGCGGTTTACAATAGAGGGTAACCGGGGTCTTCAGCAAGGTAAGAGGAGGCGCGGGCCGAGGAGCTGCGTGTCTGCTCAGCAGCTCGCCGCCGCCTCCGGGCAGCGGCCCGGCAGCCCCGGGCAGCCCCGGCACCCCGAGCGGGGATTCGCCTCCCCTGCCGTGCCCCGCGGCACCCCCGGAGCCCGGCCGGATCCCTCCGGGAGCTGGGATGCAATTTGCCGTGTCCTGCTAGGCCAGGCCTAATCCGCAGCTCGGGGTTTAATCTGGAAATCTTCGTATAATCTCATGGCAGAAAGCATTTTTCTCCCTCTCCCGGTGAAACCGGCGTTAAGGGCCAAGTTTCGTCTTCCCGGGGCAAACGCGAAAAAGATAAAAACCAATCGATTTGCGATGAGTTGCTGGTGAGGGTCAGCAGCTATAAACATTTATTGTCAAGGGCCACTTTTATTATTTTATGCCCCTAAAATGGGGAAGATGCACTCACTTTTCTTCTCTAGTACGTTGTTGTCATTTTCCAAAACAACCTCTGCCAGGTACATTGAATCATCCTTGAAAGTTTGTTTTTAAACTTTCCAGAAATTATTCCTGCTCTGCGTGCCCATGTAATCCCTCCGTGCAAAGCGTTACAAGGTTAAATTCAAACCCAGATTTTTCTAATTTTTTTTTATTATTATTATTTTTTTGCAATTGCACTTGTGAGGGAAAATGGAATCAAGTTTATTGTTGTGCTTCGCTGGAGCATTTTTTTTTTCATGCGTAGCGAAGAGTTTATAACTTCTTAAAAATAAATTTAAAAAATATATTTCAAAAAAAAAGCTTTGCTCTAGCCAGGGATTGAATCAAAGGGGGTCTTGTAGAAATAAGAGACGTTAAGGGGTTTTAAATAAAAAAAAAAAAATAAAATTACAGCATATAGATTTAAAAAGGAAGCAAAAAAAATTCCCCAAAGCGGGAGCAGGACGAGCCCCGGTGCCGAGCAGGGACGGGCGCCCGGCGGGGCCCGCCGTGCCCGGTGCGGGCTGCTCCGCGCCCCCGGCGCTGCTCCCGCGCCGGAGCTGGGAAAGTTGCCGGCACTAGGGACAAGTTGGGAAGATCCCCGGGTGGCTGATTAAAGCTGACAGCCCTTCAGCTCCGCTCAGCTCCCCGCCTGTACCGCGCCTGGGAGCTGACTTGGCCTAGGATATGGGTTCTTTTTTAAATTATTTTTTTTCCCCCTCCCCACGCAACTCTCCCGGCCGCTCTCCCTCTGTTTTCCTCTACCGTCAGGAGAGAGCCTTCCCTAACCCAGAGCGCAGAACACAAAGCACAAGTCGGGGACGGGGCCGCCCCGGGGGCAGCGAGGCGCCGCTTCCCTCCCTCCCTCTCGCTCCCTCCCTCTCTCCTTGCCTCCCACGCGGCGTGGCGTGGGGCCGGAGCCCAGCCCGGCTCCCGCCGCCCCTGCCAGCCGGCCACCGGCAGCACCGGCACGGCAGCACCGCCGCTGCGGTTTCCCCGAGCAGCAAACGCTGCCTGGGAATTGCTGCTGCTGCTGTTGGCATGGGTTCCCGAGTCAGATGCTTTAGCTTTTCCAGAGGACACGGGCTTATGTGAAAGGCAGAAAGTTTGTGAGCTCCTGGGCTGGAAAGTTCCCTGGGAAGCTCTCCGGAATGCAAATGGGAATATGAGAGAGAGAGAGAGAGAGGGAGAGAGGAGGGGTGAGAGAGAGAGCCCTGCCTAAATATTAAAATGCGAGGAGGGAGAAGTTGGGAGAATAAATGAACAGACTCACCTTTATGAGGCATCCTGTCTTGTTGTCAAAGCTCCTGTCAATAGTTTAAGAGCGCACTGATTTGAAATGATGGTGCTTTAAAAAGAGTTGCCAGCAAAATAGTTTTCCTCCACTGAAGCTGCTGGTTGTGTGATCTTGAATTCCTGGGAAGGAGACAGAGATTGACAATAAAATGGGCTGTCAGTGACTGGAGAGCGAGAGATAAAAGAGTGTGTGAGTGAAGTGGGGAGAGAGAGGCAGAGCACACCTATGCTGATTGGTGATGGTTCAAGTGTATTAATGTGTGTGTGCCTTGGTCTCTGCCTCGCCTCCACTGCTCTTCACTGGCCCATTAGTGAAGCCTGACCTCTGTCATCATCTTCCAGCAAAACACTTCCTCCCTGCGCCCGGACCCGAGCGGGAAATGCGGCGGAGCCGGGGCCGGCGGTTCAAACCCACTAATCACTCGGCACCGTGCAAACGCCGCCCGCTCCCACCCGAATATCGCCGTATGCAAAGCGCCGCCAGCGCCTCCCCGCCGCCCATTGGCCGCCGCCGCCCGCCCCGGCCCAATTGGCCCAGGCGTTTGAATATGAATGCGCAGGGCCCGCTCCGCCGGCCCCGCTCCGCTCCCAGCCGCGCGTCCTCAGGTCGGGCTGGGGGAGGGGGCCGCGGTGGTGATGGCGGGGGGAGACCAATTTGCATTTAAACAGTTCGCCCCGACAATGGGAGATAAGGGGGAAATAACACGCGAATGGTAAGGAGGTAAATATTTGGGAGACGGGCCCGCAGCTCTCCTTCCCCGCTGCCGGCGCGGGGAGAGGGAGGCTCTGCCCGGCCGGGAAAGAGCAGAGCAAATACACCATTTACTTTGTGTATTGAGGGCTCTTGTGAAAGGCCCTGAAGAGTCCTTTACCAAACACTCACCAACTTCTCCCACGTGCCATTTGTTGACTAAGGGCTGCCCGGGCTGATTTTTTTTTTTTTTTTTTAAAGATCCCACGGAGGATTTGGAGAAAGGGAGAGCCAGGCGCTGGGCAGTGCTGCCGCTTTGTGCCCGCCCGAAGAGGCTCCCCCCTCCTTCCCTCTCCTTTTGCAAGGGACCCCCTTCACTGGCTGCCAGAAACTCAAGGGGGAAAGTAAGTAAATGACTTTGCTGCTCTGACCACACACCACAAGTACATTTGTTGAATGCCGGACTATTAAGACACACCTCAGTAAACTCTAAAGCAACCCCTCAGCGCATGCATTTAAGGTTACACTGGGAGCACCAGTCCGAGCTCAGGGTGTCCCAATCGGTTATGGCGAGTGCTCCGGGGGAGGGGGAAGGGGGGTCTGCATCGGGAAAAACAATAAAAAGAAGAAGAAGGAAAAAAAAAAGGCTTGGGAAAAGAAAGGGAAGAAGGAGAAGAGACAGGAAAAAGAAATTCCAAGAGCCACCGCGGAAAGTGGAGAGTATGAACGCGCAAAGCATAAAATGAAGTCGTAGCCGCATACACTTGACTTCTCTTGACATGTGAAAAGTGCTAAAAGTCAAAGCTCATCAATAAAGTATCTTGAAATTGAATAAGAGCCCTGACAACCATTGCATTCTTAAATAAAGTACAATGAGGAGACAAACGACTCTGCCAAGGAGTTTGCATGTGAGTGAAAGGGCGCCTCAATGGGAGCGGGATAATGGGCTGCTCGGCCGTCATGCACTGTCATCCCCTGTCCCGCCGAGAAGCTGCCACCGCTCCCTAATAGCACAAAATGGGCTCTTAAGAGACTGCTGCCGGTGCCTCCGCCGCTCCCTACCCTTCCCTTCCCTTCCCCCGAGGCCGGGGTGCCGCGGGGAGCGCCCCGCTCCGCTGCCGAGGCACCGTGCCCGGCCCCACCTGCAGCGGCCAGGGGCTCTGCCGCCCTGCCCGGGCCCAGGGCAGCCTGCGGGCTCCTCTCCTTGGGAGCTCTGCCCCGAGCCGCGCGCTTTTATAGAAATGGAGCCGGATATCGCCACGGACGCACTGGAGCGTTTGGGTGTGATGGGATCCCCCCCTGAAGGTAAGAGCAGCCCGGCCGTGGGGCTCGAGGCACCCCCAGGGGGGCTCTGCCAACACCAGGGGCTCGGGCAAGCACCTCCCTCACCGGGCAGCCCCCAGCTCCTCTTGCCCTCCCCAAAACTTTCCGAAGTACCGTCCGCCACCAAGTTAACCTGCCCGCGGCCAGACATCCTTTCCAGGGGCGCCGAGGAAAAAATTCAGAGCGGCAAAAGAGAAGAGCAGCGAAGTCCAAAACGAAGTACGAACCTGTGTGCCTGCCCCGGCCCTGTGTGCCAGCCGTCCCTCGGAGCAGCCGGTCCCTCCTAGTTGCCGCTGGCCGAGGCCGGGCGTCCCGCCGCACGCATCCTGCGGGCGAGAGAAAGAGGCTGCGGTTTGTGTGCTCGCACCGCTCTCGGAGGATCCAAAGGGACCTTAAAAGCTGGGATCTAGTCCTTTTTCTGGAGTGAAGTCAGTCGTGTCCGTGGCTTTCGATTTTTTTTTTTTTATCCTCCTCTTTCTGGTGTTGTTGTACGGTTTTCCCCCCCTGTTGCACTCCCTCTCTAGCAAATAAGAGTTTTTTGGTTTTTTTTTTTTTTTTTTTTTTTTACTCTTGTCCACAGGGCGTTAAAGGGGGAAAAGAGAAAAACCACTTTGTCCGAAATTGCAGGCAAATATCATTTTTACAAGCTCTCAATTAGCCATCCCTTGGATTAGCACCTTCTTACGCCTCCTCGCCAGAATAAAGCAGCCGTAATCTTGTTGCTATTTCCCCCTCGGGCGCCGCGGGCTTTGTGTTCCCTCCCCCCAAAAAAACTTTTAACGCCCCCACCCATCCGAAAAAAAAAAAAAAAAGGGAGGGGAGGGCAGGGGTGAGGCGGTGACGTCACGGCGGGGTGCGGGGGGGCGCGGGGAGCCCCGAGCCAAAGTTGGGAGGAAGAAAGAGCAGCGGCCTCCGCCCGCCGTGAGGGGCCGGGGCCGGGGCCGTGAGGGGCCGTGAGGGAGCGGGGCCGCTCCCGCTCCGGGCCCGCTCCCCTCGGGCCCGGCGGGGGCAGAGGGACCTGCCGGGACTGCCGTGCCTGGATACCTCCCAAGGAAACGCTGTGCTTTTTTCTTTTTCCTTTTTTCCACCTAGCAGGTTGCCACTCGCCGCTCTCCCTCCCTGCCCGGCCGGCATGGTTTTCCTTTTCCTTATTTTTTTTCTTTTCTTCCTTTTCCTTCTTTTTTTTTCCTTTTTTTTTTTTTTTTTTTTTTTTTTTTTAGTGAATTTTCCGCTTCTAAAACGACCCCGCTCGCCTTTGTAGCTGGGGGAGAGGAGCAGCAGGGCTGTGGGGCGCTCGGCGTTCCCCTCGCCCCAAAGCCCTGCCCTCCTGCAGGCTCAGGCCGCCCCCCTTTCCCCCTTTCCCCTTCTCCCCTTTTCCCCTTCCCGGGGCGAGGGCTGCGCCGTGGGACCCCTCGGCCGTGGGACCCCGCGGCCCCGGCTCTCGGCATCGACTTAGGCACTCTTTGAAGATTTCTACTTTAAAATCCGCACGGGATTAATGTAACTAGCATTTTTCCTGCATCTGATTTGGGTTTGGTTTTTTGTTGGGTTTTTTTTTTTTTTTCTCCTCCCTCCACTTTTTTTTTCGCCCTTAACTATTCCAAACAAAAAGAAAAAAAAATGGGCGTAATATAAAAATGGTATAAAAACCAAAGGTAAGTAATTATTATACGTGGCAAGACGCGCCTTTTTGTTTGTTTTTCCTAATTAAAATAATTTTTACTTTTTAAATATGATCTCATGCCTGGGTATTGATTTGTGTCAAACAGCAGTGTTCGCTTCCCTTTCGGATTTTGTTAGGTGTCGAAAGCAGAAAGTGCTGAGTTAGAAACTCCACTATCGTCTCGTTGTATTAATATCTGGACTGCAAACTACCTTTTTTAATACCCAGAAAAATGCTTAAAGTCCTCTTGTCCAGTTCGGTCTAAAACTGAAGAGATACACAAATCCTGACGTCTTAGACTACAATGCTTTTGCCTCCAGGACACTTAATGCCTATTTGTATATGTAGAGACAGTGTTTGAAACCTATAATGCGCAGGACACTGAGTTAAGTGGAGCTTTTCTAGTTTATAAACAATCCGCAAAAAGTTTGGAATCGATTTAACCTCTTTTATGTTGGCCTTTTGCACGAGGCACAGCTCCGCATGGCAGGATTAAAAAAAAAAAGGCTTTCTGGACCTCGCCGAAGTCGCTCTGAGACTGGAAGACGGACACACATCCCTCCGTACGAGAAAGCCTTTGATTATAAATATGGGAAAAGTGTCATGCAAGCAGACCCGCTCGAAAAGCCTTCAGAAAAGGACGGGGGGGTGAAAGCTTAGCGCATCCTGACGGGCTTTTTAAATGCTATTGATTGGGACAAGCTGTTCAAAACCCCAGTAACAGTTAATCTGCCTGTTAATCAAGCCACTAAGGAGCTCAATGCGAGTTTTATTAGCAACTGGAGAGCACAGGCAGCAGAAAGGATCAAAAGCCTTACACCCTTGATATTTGTAAAACCGGTCTTTCCCAAAAATATATTTTCAATTACACAGTAATTCGGAGCTTATCGGGGCTCGCTCGCAGCCCCGCGCAGATGGCTCCGCGGGCGCTGCCAAAGCCAGGAAAGCCAAGGAAGCGGCATGGCCGGCCCGGCCGAGGTGCGGGGCTCAAAAAGAACGCGTAAGGAGGTGTCCCTCTCCCGTCCCGGACCCTGCTGGCCTCCCGAAACAGCAGCAAAACCTCCACTCGGCAAACCACGAGCAACCGAGAGAAAAACTCCTCGTATTCACCTCAATTGTGTTATTAGGCTGAGGGGTCTAGGGCTCGTTTTCTTTTAGCTGGCGTATTTGATTTATTGCGGCAAGTTTGCAGGGCATATTTCCCTCTGCCCATCCTTTTGGTAGAACCTCTCGTTTAATTGTTAAAAAAAAATAAAGTTTAAATAGCGAGATTTGTAATTTGGAGAGCTTGAAAGTTGGATTTCAATTAATTTAATGACCAGAAATATTATTAAATCGGCTAAAATCAACATTTGATCTTGTCATTTTTTAAATGCAATCCGATTCCTTTATATGTCAGCGAGATATGCATATAAAAGACTATCTGGTCAGAGGTAATTATGTCACAGCTTTTTCTCGGCATGACAGCTGGATAAACACCATCTCCAATAAACATCTCTAATTAGGGAGGAGGATCTGAGATAGATGGTGTTTGATTTATTACTGAAGGAGAATGTCCATTTACCGGTATATTACAGTGAAGCATCACAGGGAGCGTTCCCGCTAACGCGCCATAAGGAGTGTTTGGAGATGCTCGAAGACAGGTAAGCGGTGTTTTAGGTTTTGCGCTGTTATTTTGTTTAGCGTTATTTCCGAGGAAGAGCGGCCTTTCTAGGGTACCTCTCTTTCCCACCGACGCCCCGATTTAGCAGAGGCACCCAGGGCTGGGAAGGCGAGCCTGAGTTTGGGCGCCGAGCATTGGTAGCCTCTGGGCGAACGGACCCTTCCAACCCGAGCGGGGCGACCGGCGTTCGGCGGCCAAGAGCGGCGGGGACGCGGCCCCCGACGGCAGCTCGGAGGGCCAGGGACCCTCCCGGGGCTCCCTCCCGCAGCCCCGCCGCCGGCCCTGCTCTGCTCGGGTTAGGGCCGGGCCCGCCGCGCCCCGCTCCCGTCCCGTCCAGCCGGCCCCGGGGCCGAGCGGGGTCCTCGGAGGGGCGCGGTAACCCGCGGCTGCCCCCGCCACCCGAGACGGGTCACGGCGAGGGAGCGGGGCCCGGGTCACGGGGCGGGGGGAAGGGGAGGGGGAACTTTGGGAAGCGGCTCCAGCGCCGGCCGCCCCCTCCGCCCCGCGGCGCCCCCTCCGACGGGCGGGCAGCGGCCGGAGCCGCTCCCTCCCACCCCCACCTGTTGTGCGGGGCTCCGGCCCGCTCCCCTCGCCTAATCCCGCGGGGTGGGGGTGCCGGGCGCCCCGACCCCTCCCGTCGGGAGCGGCCCGGGGCCGGGGCGAGCGGCCGGGGGCGTGCGGACTCGTTACCTGTCAGCGGGAGCGGAGGCTCCGGGCGCGGCGGTCCCGCGGCCGGGAGGAGGTACCTGGCGGCTCCGGTGGCCAATTTCCACGCGAGAACCTGCCACACAGTTTAAATGTCAATGACAGCAAAAGAGGGGTGCTGCCTTTGCACTAACTTTCCCTTAATATCCACGCCAGCGCCTCCCCCATTGGCTGGGCCGCCCCGGTGACGTCACGGCGGACAGTAGTTAGCTAATGAGACATTTTAGGCGACACGAGCCCGGACACCGCCCGCCCCGTCGGCGGGCACGGCCCGGCACGGCCCGGCCCGGCCCCGCCCCGCCCGGGGCTCGGCCGCGGGACGGGACTCCCTTGGACCGGGGCGCCCTCGGGCAGCGGAGGGGTCGCTGCACCTTCCCACCGCCTCCCGGCAAACGGGGGCTGCGGCCCGACGGCTCGCCCCAGCCCAGCCCCGCCGGCAGCCGGGTCTATCCCCGGCCTCCCAGGCCGAGGTTTAGGCTGAGGTTTGGCTTCTTCCCCTCCGAAATGAAGGACGCTCTTGCACGGGGAAAAGGAGGCCCCCAAAACCTGCCGCAGCCCCGTGGCTCCTCGGGGATGCCGGGCCCCCAAGCGCTCGGCTCTGCTGCGGGAGTGGGCTGGGCCCCGGCCCCTCGGCGGGCGCTGCCCGGCTCCCCGTTAGAGCGGGGGGGAGAGGCCGCTATTTGCACACACTTGTCAGGGTAAATAATTCATCGGCAAAGAGGCCCCCCCACCCCCGCCGCCGATAGTTTTATTGAACTGCACTTAAATGTTTGATGAACCTGCCGCCCGAACCGGGCTCCATTAGCAGGAGGCTGCGCCGGGGGCGCGGGCAGAGCGCTCCGCGGGGTGCTGAGGGATCCGGGGCAGGGGTCCGGCTGGGATGAGGGGTGACCCTGTCCCTTAGGCGCAAGTCCCGCGCCTTGGCAGGTAGCGACGGCCCCGGGGGCGCTGCCAGGAAGGGGTTTCGCGGCGCGCTTGGAGCCGCTGCCATTAAGGGGCTTGCGGCTCCCTGCAACCCGGCAGGGTCCTCCAGGGAAGCGTTGGAAACACCACGGCTCCCGCCTGCTTATCTGGCTGTCAATAAAAGGAGATGGCTCCTAAAGCAGGGCCAGGTGCTGCCTCCCCTGCTCTCCAGCGCGCCGCTCTCCAGAAACTGCTCAGGCGTGAAGCCAAGTCTGCTTGGCCAGGCCTCGGCGGAGGCAGGCAAACAGCCCCTCGCCAGCGCCAGAGCGCTCTGTTTGCCTTTTCATCTCCTAAAAAAAAAAAAAAAATAGACACAGAAAGAGGGAAGCGAGGCAGGAAGGTGGGGGAGCGTTGGGAGCAGAGTCCGTATTCGGCCGAGAGGTCGCCTGAAAAGAAAAAAAAAAAAAAAATTAAAAAAAAATAATAAAGGATGGGGGGGAGAAAAGCCGGGGGAACGGGGCCACAGAGTGTCTGTCCCCCACGCCCGTGCGCTGTGTCTGTCCCCCCGCTGATTTTTGCTCCTGTCGCGGTCGGCGGCCTTTGCAGAGCCGCGGAGGAGGGACGCGGCTCCGCGGGGCAGCGCGGAGGGAAGCGGGGTCGGTGCGGGCGTCGCCGGGCAGGGGATAGGAGCAGGGGCACGGCAACGTGTTACAAATTTATAAGCGTTATACATATTTGATTTACACTGTGTTCCGAAGTTGTGGGCTTTTTCTTTTTTTCTTTTCTTCTTCCTTTTTTTTTTCTTTCCTTCTTTATTTTTTTTTTCCCGAGGATGCCCCAAACCCCCGTGTTCACATAGATTGAGCAATTCTCAACACACACTGTAATAATGAGCTTTAATTCTCTATCCAAGCAGAACTTGAGCAATAATAATAAGCACATCAGAACAATTTGTTTACTGTGGCATTGCACAGGCTGCAGGGTCCAAGACTAGCTACAATAAACGGTAAAAACCAAAGGAAAAGCACTAGAACAGGAAAAATATTACGATAGAAACGTGATTTTGGCTTTCAAGGAAAGAGGTACTTGACTAGCATTGTAGCTGGGATATTTTGCCCTTGTCCAAGGTATGTGTTTTTAAATACTTTCTTTTTATTTTCCCCACACGTTTCTTTGCTTGTCTGACATTTCTCTTTTTGCCCCCAGGATTGCGTTTAAACCTTGGTGCAAAAATGTAATTTTGCTCTTGTTTTGTATTGTTGGTTGGTTTTGGTGTTTGTGGTTTTTTTGTGTTGTTTTTTTTTTTTTTTTTAATTCTCTCGTCCTGTCGGCTCAGCCCTCTCGCAGTTTGATAGAATCTGAATAGCTCCATCTCTTCGAATAAAAATTCCCTGAATTATTATTGAAATGGCTTTTTGTGCGCTGCCACGTAAAGTTGGGAGAGCTTTCGGGCTGTTGTGCGGCTGGCAGCCTGCGAGGCTCTGCTGCGACCTGGTAAGCGATTGCGCCCACCCTTCCTGGGAGCGCTCGCCCAGAGCGGGCTGAGCCGGCTGGCACGGGCACCCCGCTCTGCCAGCCCCGGCGAGCTGGAAACTCGCCCTAACGAGCGGGATTAGTGCGTGTTTGGGGGCTCTCGTGTAAGATGCTGCAAGAAACTTCTGTGAACTGAAGCGTCCTAAAGACAGAAATTTAGCAGAAAGACAGCATTTCCTCTCGCGAAGGATCCCGCCGTAGCCGACTGTGTAATAAGACTGTTATTTTCAATGCCGTAACCTTGTTTCTCATCCGAAAAACAACCCCAAAAAATCGAGGTTAAAAAAATTGCTTCTTGCTTTAAAAAGGAAAAACGTATAGCTAGAAATAATTTCTTTATACCTTAACTTTCTAGCTGGGTTTTCTCCCCTCTCCCTCTCTCTCCTTCTTATTTTTTTTTTTTTTTCCCGAAGACTCCTAATGCTATTAATTTGTCGAAAACTGTATTCTGGACTGTCTCGAATTATTCCCCTTCTCTATCCTTTAAAACATTTTCATAATAAGCGTGACTCCGGACAATGTTTGATTTGTTTTTCTCCCCTCATCCCGGTTTAGACTGAGACATTAGCTGAATTCCCTGGGGGTGATTGGATGCAATTCGCTGAAAGTCGACAGGCACGTCCTGGATGTTAGAAATTCACTTTTCCTCAACGTGACAAGGCTGAGTTCGATCTACAATTGTATTTGAAAGGGCAATGAGCGGAAAGATCTCCCATCATTAAAACCTCCCTCTTCTTTAGCAAAATAACAAGATACTTCATTTGCACACAAACACTCAGGGAAAAAAAAAGAATCCCCAAACCCCAACCGACCCGCGATAACTCTTTGATAAAACGCTATCTCTGCATAATTTGGGAGGGGGGGGACACCACATATCAAAAGGTATCGGAGGACCCCCAAAGCGCCCATGTGATCAAGTTGACTTTTTACTTTAAATCTTGAATAAGATGTGAGTTGCAACAAGGGGATTTGCACTTACTCCATGACCCTTGTAATTGGATTAAATATGGACTGAGACGTACAAAAACATACCAAGATTGACACCTGCCAACTGGACTTCCTTATGATTGATTGTGATGCTTCGTGCTGGCAACAATAATGAAATAAATTGTATGGATAAAACAGCACATTTGTCATTTCCGTGCCATAAGAGAGGAAGGCAGCGTGTTAGGCAAGCTGTTATCTGACAGGCACGAGCAGCAGACACAACTAAAGAGCTAAACAAGGATTCCAGACATTGACAAGACAAATTATAACTTGTCACAACCTTTTTAAATTCAGAAGTTTTCAATTAACATATATATTGCTGTTACATATAAGATCGGGTGGCCTTAAAACACAAACAGGCAGGGACGGAGGGCGGCGGAGGCTGCGGAGCCGCCGCTGCCCCGGCTGCCGGCGCTGCGCGGAGCCCCGGGAGCCGCCCCTGCCCGCGGGCACGGCTCCGGGGGGCAGCGGGGCTGCCCGGGCGGACCGGGGCTGCGCGGGGTGCCAGCGCAGGCAGCGCATCCCGCGGAGGCGCTGCGGGCGCGCCAGGGACGCAGCGCCGTCCATCGGGCCGGGATGCAGCGGCGGCGTGTCCTCCGGGGAAGCGCGGGGCATTCGCGGCTCCCGGCGGCGATCCGCGGGATGGATGCGGAGCAGGCGGCCCCTCCGCGCCCGCGCAGCCCGGGCAGGGCAGCGCTCCCGCCTCCGCCGGCCGTCGGGTCTGCAGGGATCCCCGCCAGCGGGGAGGGGGCGGCCCCGCGGGACCCCCGGGGACACGGGCAGCGACGCACAGACCCACGGGCGGCAGCAGCCCCGCTGCCCCGAGCGCCGCTCCGCTCCCCGCGAGGTCCCGCCGAGGCAGGGAGCGTCCCCTGAGGGATGGCGGTGGGTGAAGGGGCACGGCACACAGGGGCTTGAGGGCTGGCTTTGCCAGGGCACTGCTCGGCTTGGGTCCCCGCCAGGTCATTACCGGGTGGAAAAAGAGGGAGGCGGGAGCGGGCTCACCTGAGCACGGCCCCCGCTCCTGTCGTGACCCCCCAAAATGCAAAGGAAACTGCGGAGCGCTTCACCCCGTGTCGTGGTGCGCTTTGTCCGAGGAGGTGCTGACCTGGCCAGGCACAGCGAGCGTCCCTCGGGAGCAGAGCAAAACTCCGGCTCTCGCTGAAAACCGTCGGGTCCCACTCGAGGGGCGACTCCGACTCTTAGACAAATGTTTTTCCACCCCCGTTTCTTTGGTCTGAGCCGGGTTTTGCCGGGTCCGAGGTGACGGACAGTAGAAGTGCAGGGGATGGAGCACCGCGGCTTTCCCGGCCATGGCCGGGCACGGAGAAAAAGGACTTTCCCCCCCAAACCCCCAGTCGCAACTTGGGAAAAAATAACTAATATTCCAAGGCGACCTTTCCATTTGCTGTAATTACTGCCAAACTCATTCCCCTAAATTAAATGCTGCAAGTGATTTGAATCCTCGTAACGCAAAACCCAAGTTCCATCGAATTAGTTGTAGCCTGCCTGCTTTCCCCAGTGACTGCATCTATTAACATTATAATCTCAAACACCATTTTTTATGTAATACTATTGTTAGTAAATCAACTCCTCAGGTCCACAGAGACGCTGACCTCTGTCAATTCAGTGAAAGTGTAATTATCTCCCTGAATCTTGGACAGATTTAAGAGAT